GAGACGACTTGCGGGCACTGCCTCGGCACCACGGGCATCCGCCAGGAGGTCGCCCAGTGGCGGCTCGGCGCCGTCGCATTCGTCCGCTCCCGCCAGGGGCAACTCGAGCAACGAGTAAGCCAGCGCGCGTTGCGCCGCCACGGCCAGCATGCCCATCCATCGGTGCAGGGAGGCACGCTGCACGGCCGGGCGGAGCCGCGCAGGCGACTCGCGGGCACGAGCCCTGGCCAGTTTCCGCAGGAAGGCAACGGCCTCTCGGCTAAACCTGCCCCCAACTTCAACGCCCAGCACAACCAGCTTACAGCGGCGGGCGACTGCCAGCTCCGGGTAGGTGCGCAGGCGTTTGCGTTTCGCCGCCTGCTCAAGCACCGTGCCCGGGACACGATCGGCATGCGGCTGTGCGTCGATGGTGTCGACGGCCGCCTGTGCACCCTGCCAGATGGGCAGACCATTCGCCAAGACTTCGATGCGGCGGCCGTCGGTCAAGGGGACGTCAACATTCATGTCCCGTAGGAGGACATTGGAGGCCACACGTGCTCCTGCTTCGCGGCAAACGCACGCAGCCGCCCTTTCCAGCGCTGCCCCGCGCACTCCTAGGACTCCGGCAGTCGGGCACGGTGCGCGATGATCACCAAGGACATCAAGATCGCCTCCACAACGGCAGCGCCGGGGTCCGATAGGCACGGGCTGTCGCAACCTCGTAAGCAGCAACACGCGGAAGCAAGAGCTCGAGAGGCGGAACTCCGGAGCCGTGGGCAAGGTGGTGAGGGCACGGGAGGCACCGGGGCCTGCCTGGGACAACATCGACGCGCGCGAAGCCGGGTCAAGGTCAGAGAAAGAGCTCGCGCAGGCGGATGCGTCCAAGCAAGCCGCGGCGGCTCGCTGCCATCCTCGCAGGGGCTCTCCAGGTGCGCGCTCAACAAACGCAGGCGGCGGGCGCCCGCCTTCGGCAAGTCTGTCCAACGTCGGCAACACAAACCCGGCCTCCTGCAGTTGCGCCACTGCCGTGCTAGTTCGGCCAGGCTTCGGGTTGCCTCGCCAGTTCCTGAGTGGTTGGGGGACTGTACACGGCGGAGGGTCTCCGCCACAAGACTAGGGTGGCGCTGGCGCAGGATCGGTAAAGTGTCGGCCCAAGATGCCCAGTAGGCTGCATTGCGGCCTTCCGAGGCACGGCGTAGGCCCAAGCCCCCGAACTTCAAAGGCAGCGCCACGCGCCTGCTAGCGAGGTCGTCAATGTGTATCGGGGCATCGTTGGCAAAGAGGTCGGCCAGGCAGCGTGCGACTCCGTCGTCGTGGCTGCGTGCGAACTCGTGTGTCCAGGAAGGTGCCAGCGACCTGAGAAGGTAGTTGCAACGTGGGGCGGCACACATCAAACAGGAGCAACCACGCCGACTGAAGGTCTGGCAGACCGGGGATTTTGTCCAGCAAACGGCCGTGGTTGAGCGCTTTGTTCCTGAGGGCCTCCTTTTTAAAAGCCTCGCTCCCGAAAGGAGTGCCGAGAACAAGGAAGCCCTGATGCTCAGGCGGCAAGGAGCGGTCACCGACCCATACGGGCGCTAGTGGGAAGCACGTCAGCAAGGCCAGGTCGTCGACGGCCTCCGTCTTGGGCGGCTGGTTGCGTTGCAAAAGCCCAACGGAGGCATACGTGCTGTCGTAATGGGAGATGTCTTCCGTCGCCTAGTGTCCCGGACCCTGGCTCAACAAGCATCGGACGCCTTCATGGAAGTGTGTAGCCCGTTCCAGTGCGCGCTTTCCACGCGCGCTGGGACTGAGGCGCTCGCACGCGCCCTCGCGGTGTCCTGCGAACTGAATCCGAGTAAGACGGTTGTCAGTGTTGACGGAGTTGGTGCCTACGATCACATCGCCCGGGCGGCAATGTTTGAAGGCCTCCGCCGGGACGCTCGCTTGGCTTCGTTGATACCGTTCGTCCGTCAATTCTATGGCCGTGAAAGCACGTACCTTTTCGACGACCACCTCGGACGGGCACACGAGGTAGCCCAGGCGGAAGGGGGGGAACAGGGTGACCCCTTGATGCCGGGCCTCTTCGCGGTGGGCATTCATCCGGCCCTCTTGGCGGCGCACGCCGAGCTTGGGCCACGTGCTGATCTGTATGCATTCTTGGATGACACGTATGTGTCATGCGACCCCGCAGATGCATGCGCCGCGTTTGTCACCTTGCGCACGGAGCTCAAGCGCCACGCTAACATCGACGTGCACCTGGGCAAGACCCGTGTTTGGAACTCGACAGGCGAGGAACCGCCGGCCCGCGGCCAAAAGTTGGGCGGCGTGGAGGAGCAAATCGGTGCAACTTTCGTCATTAAGCAACGTGCGCAGATGCTCGGCTGTGCACCCAGATGGCCCGGCGGCAGCTCACCGCCGGGCCCCGCGTAGGTTGCCGAAGAATTTGTCTGCGTCAATTGCCATATTATGCCCGTTCTCTGGGGAGAAACTGGAAACCCATTCCGGAAGCGGCACCTGGCAAGTTTAGGGTCGTTTGGAGGGGTCGCGCAAGATTGCGAGTGTCTCGTCGGTGGCGGGGGCGAGCGGGGAAGCTTCGAGAGCGGCCCGCGCGGCCGACAGTTCTCCCAGATGCGCGAGCGCGACGGCTCGGTCAGCCCGCCGTTGTGTGTCCGAGTCGACGGAGGTTGCAGGCCCTCCAGATCTAGCTGGTGGTGGCACGCGGCGACGTTGCTGTTGTGGCTCCGTTTGGGCGGCCTGGGCGGCCTGGCACAGTAGCTCATCCCAGCAGTCTATGTTCGTGCGTGCGTTTGCTCTCCGCCTTCTCCTTTGGGCAAAACTGCTGAGCGAAAGGGAGGAGGGGTGGAGCTCGCGTCGAGCATGCAACAGGGCCGTGAGCATCGCCCCACATGCAACCTTGTTGAATGTGCAACGGCATCAACACAGCATGGGCATTTTTCGGTTGCGGCGCAGAGCAAGCGACTGACGGTTTCGGTGAAACTGCGGGTGCTGAAGCCGCCATCGTATTGATGTGGCACGCGCGCCTCCTGGAGCTGCAAGGAAATAGCTCGCACAGTTGCAGCCCGCCTATAAACGGAGTCCCAAGCGGGTTCGGCTCGGTCGCATTGCCTATTTCAGCCCTCGAAATCGCAGCATGGCCAACCAGCCTGGAATCGCCCTCCATTGACGGTGGTTGTAGGTGATAGGCGGTCGCCTTCCGAAGCTCGGCAAGGGTGTCGTGCGTGCTGGGCGCAAGCGGTTCGGCAAACACAAAAGGCCCCGGCAGCGGGCAGCGGCAGAGAGCTCGCCGAGGTGGACGAAGGCTGTGGCGTGGCGGTCCCCGGCATCGTCGCTGGTGGGGTCAGCGGGCCGGGGGTGCGCGGCATGTGTGACTGCAGCGGCAGTGTCACGCAGGAGATCGGCCCACCTGCCGGCGACATGTGCGGCGCCAGGCAGAACAGTTTCCAACCGCACTTCGTCCTAAGCCGAAGCGCTTGCGAGGGGAACGGTGAACGGCTGGTCGCAAACCGGCGCGCAGTGACGGTGCGGAAAGCACCCGGATGCGCAGGGGGACCGCAAGCGGCGCGAGGGCGCTCTGTCGGCATGTAGACGCAAGGTCAACCACATCCACAAAGCGACGAGGCCGAGTCGCATGCTTCGGCGGCTGTGGTAGCTCTCTCGCGCATGGGCCGCAGCCGGGGGTTGGTGTTGGAACTGCGGTACTGCTTGAGTTTCAAGGGCTGCGGCGGCGGTGTGGTGGCCGCGCCTGCGCCCACGCCGGCCTCCCCGAGCAGCGGCACGCATGCGCCTTGCCACAGGGCGTCATCCCTTTGAGAGGCCCCCTCATGGCGCTGGCCCTGCGGCGTTCGGGCCAACCATTTCGCGTGACCTGCGATTCGGCAGCGCGGGCGAGTGTGGCAAAGAAGGAACTGCGGGCTGACAGGCGTGGAGGCTGCAAGGTGTTGGCAAGCGAGCTCCCATGCACAAGTCGGCAGAGTGAGGGTAGAGCGGTGAAAGCGCCAAATCGGTTGCTGCAGCTTGCAACGCCTGCACGTAAAGCCAGGAGTTGTGGTCTCGTCCGTGTGGTCTCGTCCGTGACACGCCCACGGGCGGCCCCCTTGTCAGCCAAAAAACTGGTGCGGGTCATGCGGCAGTTCCGGGAGCGCGGCCCGCGCGTCGAAGAGCTGCGCGCGTTTGGCGCAGCGCAGTTCTCTAGCGTGTTCATGTGCTGTATATAGTCAACTGCCGACACTTGCACGCAGAAAACGCTCTCTCTCTTTTTTCACGGGTGCTGCTCAGGGTAACGGAGCCTGGTCGCTTGCGGGCGGGCGACTCAGGCCCCCCGTCTTTGTGAGACAATACGAACTTTTCCACACTCCTGAGCAACAAAAGCCTTCGGT